AAGTTTCCTTTCGAGTTGGGAAACGAACCACTCTAGAAGATCTGAATTATCACATTTATTTAGGCAAACAAAGAACTTTAAAAACCTCCTATGAAATCTTAGTCGTCCATCCCCTTGTCCTATCATCAATAAAAAGTTTAAAAGATGAAAGACTAAACTCTGCATCCAACAAAACTAGAAATAAAAACTAAAGTAAGGACCTGAACAACTTCACAAATTCTTCCTAAAATGGCTAGATCGTGGCTGTATCATTTCTGCTAGGTTGGAGAAACTCAACCATGGCAATTTACTCAGAAACATAGAGACATCACAACTTCTTTTGAGTTTTGAAGCTCTCAATCTCAATTTCTTTGACTTTTCTTCCGCGATTAACAGGTAAATATGTCTGTAATTCTACAAATTGGCATTATCTTTTTATTATTCCAAGAATTAATATCCCCTGTGTGCCTTGTGATAGATAATACGTGGTAAATTATCCCACCATGCCCAAGCAAGATGGGAAAAGATAGGTGCCTCAAATTTTAGATTGGCTATTTTATATTCACACTCCTTTTTAACTTTACTATTAAATCATCATATTCAACTTTACCATTAAATCATCGACAGAGAATTGGTTACTGAACTAGCACATCTCAATTTTGAATCCTCTTTTTTTTCTAGTTCTATCGAGTTTTTCGTCGAGGCTCGTTCGGAACATGACGAAGATCGACCCCTTCACCATTATTGCCCAGATTTCTAATCGAGTCCCTGGATTCCTTCCACGCTAAAGCCCACCAACTTCCTATATAAGTTTGTTTATTATCTCCATTACTTGAACCAACCATATTACTTCTTTGAGACTCCTTTGGAGGCATTGCTCTCCATTGTGATGCCAATCGAAGTATGTTGCTTTGATTCTTCATAAATTTCTATCACAATTTGATGGGATTCAAGAAAATAACAACAAAAAATGGAGATCAATTAGAGATAGAAAAAGAAAAACCAACAAACTAACGAGGAGTCCAACTATAAAAATACAAATGCAATAGACCAGCCCAAAATCCCACTATAACGACTAAAGTAAATACAAAAATGAAAAAAGTTCTTATGAAATCCAAACTGTCCATCTATTTTAGCCCGACCTCCTTTCATTACGTTAAATTTTTTTTAAGACTCTTGGCTTTACCATATTGAGTTTACCTCTTAAACTTTTGGTGATAGTTTGACGCACTATCAAATCTATCGGCGAATACCACTCGGCAAATTAACCACGTTTAAGAGAGAGAAATTAAAATCGTGAAGGAAATCATAAGAAGAAAGAACAAAATGTGTGGATCTAAGTATTCTGACACGAGCGTATAAGCAGAAGAGAATAAATAACACCCACAAACCGTTCTCTCTCTACGATCTCAAAGATCAACCTTTTTCATTCATAAAATTCAATTCCCTCTCAATTACAATTCACGTGCTCTTTTTAAAGGAGTTTACATTCAACATCCTAAAGATAACTACTAAAAGAAAATAACTAACAAAACAAAAATTACTCAACTCCTACCCACTTAACCCCAACTTCCTTATTTTCCACGCACTAACAACTACCAATTAAAACCATCATTATCTTTCCCTACCAAAAAGGAGCAACCCTTTAATTTCTCGTACGTCCTTAATATAAATCTTATCTTTCTAAAGTTTTTTTATTATCTAATAAATCATACTTACTAAAAAGATCTTCAACTATATCTAATATTCAATAAAAAATGACAAACTTGATAATACTTCTCATTCTAAAGATAACCCATAATAAATCGTTATCTCCATCTTCCTTATCCAAAAGGAAGAACGGACCTCACCCACAAAACGAGCTTAATAAAAAGATAACAACTTATTTATACCCTTAAAAAAAATGACTTAACTTTCAAAAAATACGGACTTTTATCAACTAACTCAAAAAATCATATTCTTAATAATTAACCCTAATAAATAAAAATAAAAACTCTACGCAACCTTTAAAAATAAAATTAACAAAAAAATAAAAATTTGTGGCATCCAAATTTTGATCTGCATCATTTTCCCTTGGTTGAAGAAAACTCAACCACGAGTTTTAAAATGTGTTAAGATCAACTTTGTATTAGTGCTGCAACCTTTTCCAACTTGAATTTTGGAAACACGATCCTGCGACCCTGTGGGTCACTGCACTGATCAAAACATGCATCGATAAAACCTCGAGGAATAGGTCATCATATATCCATAGGAATTGTTTATGCTCTGCACAAGAACATACTAAGCAAGCATCTTAGAGCTGAGAACTTTTGATAATTGATTTAACTTCACTTATGAATTCTTCGATAACTGATTTAACTTCAGTTATGGATTCTCCCTTGAGTGCTTCTTTTTTTGCTTCATCAAATACTTCCACAGGCTCAATCTCTTGTTTATCCATCTCTCCACTAACGAAAAAATTAGATGCCTCTCCATTAAAGAAAAAATTAGATATCTTTGCTACCTCAATGAGAACTTTTTTCCTTTCATCTTGTTCTTTATCAAAAAGAGGATCTTCATCAAAGATGGGGTAACTTGTGACATCCAAGAATGATGATTGCAATTGAAGATCCAAAAACACACGTTCTTCATCTTCAACTAGATCTTCATCAAACTTAGGTAGATCAATCTCCCAACCATAAGGAAATAAATCATTTTACTGACTATGAGGCTCCCGACATAAAGCATTGGCATGGAACGGGCTCTCGAAAATAACTTCTGACTCACTACCATCATCATAGTACGTTGTGGCTAGTTTTTGCGCCAAACGCAGGATCAGCTCTTCTACTTGCCTTCTCAAGCTTTTGTTCTCCATCTCTCGGAGAGCTTGGAGGTTTCATTCTCGATGGATGAGTTGAGTCTCGATGCCCGGCTATACACCTTATCCACGAGCCATGATGCCAATTGACGAACACCATGATCCACAAGAATCAACTACGCTCTAAATCCACCTGATGCAGTATAAAATTTACCAGGGAATACCACCCGGTAAATTACCCGTGTTTAAGAGAGAAATAAAAATCGTGAAGGAAATCACAAGAAAAAAGAACAAAACATATGGATTCGAGTATTTTGGCACATGCCCATAAACACAAGAGAAGAAACAACACCCACAAAGGGCTGTCTCTCTAGGATATCAAAGATCAACTTTTTTCATTCATAAAATTCAATCTCTTCTCAATTACAATTCACATGCTCATTTTAAAGGAGTTTACATTCACAACCCTAAAGATAACTACTATTTCTATTTCCCGTTACCATTACATATCCTAATTAAAAGATAAATTTTCCTTAACTATATTTTCTCCAATACGAAAAGATGATTTCTTAAAGGAAAAACTTGTATCCACGTAAATCCAAAACCAAGCTCCTATTTTTTTGCACCCACATAACTCCAACACAAAACCTTATAACCTTTGCATAAGATAAACCTTTGCATATGGAAAACAAAACCTAATCTACTCAAGGGACTCTATCACGGATAATTAAAAATGACGACCAACTCTTGCAAAATAAAAACAGACTCATACAAATTAGACTTATCAAAACTAACTCCAAAAATCTTATTTTTAATAATTAACCTTAATAAATAAAAATAAAAATTCTACCCAAACTTTAAAAATAAAATTAAAATTTGTACCCACTAGATTCTGATTGGCGTCATATTTAGATGAGGGTGAGTACGACCATAGATTTTGATTTGCATCATAGGAGAATAATAGGTTGATAATATAAAATGTATTAGAAGAAGGTTTCTAAAATTTGTTTAACCGATCGAGACTAACCATAGTTGGTCCAATATTATTTTTAACTGGTTTTCTACCAAATTATGTATATGTTTGATATCAGATCTACGAAAGCACTGATCAATGATTCGACCGGTCATATTGTATTGTCCTCTCTAATCTTAATAACTTTGAGTATGCCAATTCATGGTTTCTTCTTTGGGATTGCATACAATGAGACCATTGACCTTTGATACAAGGAGGTCACAATTAGATACAATCCTATGATGTGAAATCTAATAGTTTGAGTGTGTCACAAAATTCGAGAAATTTGTTTTTGAAGTTTGAGTTTGGTCAATAGAATAAATGCAGCCATTCAATTTCAACTCCAATGAGCAAGATTAATTGTGATTTTCTTGTACCAAAGATAAGTGGTCTTTCCATCCAATTAGCAAGATTAATTTCATTATCATTTTAATTCCATAAAAGTTAATACTTTCTACAAAATTATTTTATGAGGTAGGTCGTGAACAAAATTCGAGTGGGCAAGATAGTTAAAAGGGGTTTGATTTGTTTTCTTCCCTCTATCTTCTCTAGTGCTTCACAAGTGTGTTGTACGAGCTGCAAAATAGTTTTAGGGAGAGTTTGGATGGAAGTAGTAGGCGTAATCTTGCCCACCACAATTTTCAACCAAAGCAAAATACTGCTAATTGGGCTTTGGGTAATTTGCAGCGCAGCGATTTTTACACAATGGACTTAAAATAGAAAAGAACAAAAATGTTGCCAAGGAGTTCCCTCACTAATATGTTACAAGAATTCAAATTTATTTGTTTGTCCAAAACTGGACTGGGCCTTGTTTACTTGTCACATGATATCCCATGATCAGATTGTATGTGTATCTTCATAACAAATGGGAGAAAGAGTGTCATGAGCTATGTAACATGGGCACAAATTTGGCATATGTGAATATACCAAGGGCTTATCACAGATAATTTAATGCCTTAGTAAAATTAATCCTCATAACCATTCAAAGAACAAAATCATGATAATTAGTTCTCTCTTGTTTGGAAGTGTCTACCATAAAATTACCTGAGATAAACTTATAAGCAGTTTTACTTATCTTTTTGGAAAGTTGTTTTTGCTTTACATAGTGTAACATGTTATTTGTCTTGGTAGAAAAATGACTAAAATGGACTCTCTGTATCCAAACAATAACTCAATAATACTCTATAAATTAAGATATGTACTAAAACTTTAGAAAAGAATATTATGCAGAATATATTAATTACGTATAAGATAGTCTTCAGATTAAATTAGTATCATCTAAACATGTCCTAAAGATTTATGGGTGATGGGTCTGAGAAGCCGATTTTGAGTTCAGCATTTCTTACATTTAGTATAATTTTAAAATGGTAACACATGTATCTGTTGTAATACAGGTCATCAGAATGTTGTGAAGGCCTCTGAGATGAAGGTTTTCCGAAAGTTGGAGTTCTAGAATAGGAACATATTTCTCAATTAAATATCAAATTTTGGCAGCAAAGCTTTAGGGAAACGCTTGTTTCGATGTGGAAGAGATTTTTTTTTTTTTTTTTTCATTTTTGTTTTGCTGTACATCCCTATCCACCATCCTCGCGGAGTCCATGTGGGATAAAATAGTTACACGTCTTGGAAGACCAAATTGTATATTTTGTCTGGATAATTAAACACTCGGTTAA